AGGTAAAAGTAAAATTTGTGTAGTATGTGTCTTATATTTTCAATGAAATCCATAAGAGTATGAACTTTATAAAAATAAAAGATAAAAATGATATAATAGTGGCCCAAGAAAAAAAAGGATCTGGATAAAAAACTGAAATAAAGGGAGCTTGATGAGACCAGAAAATAATGTAACATCAGAAATAACACAATAGTCAAACAAAGATGATATTAAAAACAAAACAGGATAACCCACACTATGGAAAATAAAATTAGTACTATGGAGGACAAGACTGCAATTACTTCTTACACTGAAGGGGAAAAATATAGAAGATAAGAGATTCTGAAGCAAAAGTGCACATACAACAAGCCAAACATGAACATGCAACATAGATAAAAAGAACTGGGGTATGTTATGTACAAAATATTCATGCATTATTCCTAAATACTAGTAAATTGAATCAACCATAGTAAAAGAGTAGTCCATTACCAACTGAAATATATTCCTCTAATATACCCATAGTTCAACATGAAGAAAGGCACATATCTCTAATGTATAAATAGAGAAATATAATTTGGATATCTTGATAAAATATAGTGAAGACTATGTATGAGAAATAATGTATAGTTTACATATGTTAGCTCGTCTTGATTCTCAAAAAAGCTTATGCTAGTTGCTATTACCATCATCACTTACCTGAGGAGGAAAATGAGACAGAGATTAAGAAACAGAGCCAAGATTTCCAGCTGGTAAGTGACAGCTGTAATGAGAAGGGGTTTTTTTTGTTGTTATTTAAAAAGTGGGTATTTATATTTATGCATTTGTGTGTAATATGAATACATGTGGCTTATGTATGAAGAATTAGACAGAGTTGCTCTAAAACTCTGAAGGATAAACTACTCTATTCCATATAACTGTCATATGTTGATACACATTTAAAAAAAAAACAAGAGCAACTGAAGCAACAGACACTGAATATTAAGGAGGAGGCTGCCTCTGAACAATCAGTTTAATGGTGATTTTTATATTGTCTTTCCTACTTTTCACTCTTTATGTGCAACATTCATATAAGCATATGTATTTATGTATGTATTATATGGAAGATATCTGTGATATATAATCTTAATTTTCACATATGATTATCTATAAAAGTTATCAAAATGAGGATGTCAATTAATTCATGCCATACAATAGTAACTGGTCCCAGGTAAGTCACACTGCCATAAAAAACTACTAAAATGGGCAAATATATATTAGGTAACTATTTTCAGAAAATGGGAAAGAGACAGGGTAAGATTGAGATCTATGAAAAAAGGGGAAACTAATGAAGTGATTTCCATTGGAGTGCACATCTCTTCTTGACCCAATTTCCTGGCTCTGGAACAGAACCCTGATATTCAAGCATAACATGGAAGTCCCATGGAGTTTGGGAGGCAGAGATCACAGTACTGGAAAGCTGGAGTAGTTAGAACCTGTGAGTCAGGGTAACAGAAAGAAGGATGGTATACAGGGCTGTATTTAGAAGTTTGCATGGGATTACCTATGAATCTCTGCCTGAAGGCTTGGCAGTACCCTTATAAGACTAGAAAAACCTAAGGCTTATGAAATAGCAACATAGCAGCTTTTATGGAGTTGACAGCAGACATCTCTATGGGAAGGTCAAAGAGTCCTGGGGAAAGAGCAGTAGGGATTATTGAAGATTAAGCCATTTTAGAGTGAAGAGACATGAAGCTACCGGCAACATGAAGAAAACCAGACAGGGTTTCTCTTAGTAGTTTAATTATGCCCTGAAGAAATGTCCTCTTCAGACCTTTCCTGAAAAAACCTAAGTCTAAGCCCCAACAAGATCCACAGTACAGACAGTTTTGGAGATTGATTCCCAAAAGATTAAAGAGTCTAGGGCAACAATTAGGGCTTTTCACAGATCTACACTGATAGTGTAAAACCAACCCTATACAAGTTCAGCATGATCAGTCAGTAAGTGAACAGTCAGCTAAAACAAAACTGCCTTCTGAAGATTACAAATATAAAGTCTCTATAATATAATATCAACAATGCCCATTATTCAATGAAAATTATTAGGTATAAAAAGAAACAGGAAATGTGATCCATAATCATTGAAAAACTAAAATTCAATCTACAGAATCTAAAATGAACAGGGCTAAACATTGGACTTAGTGGATAAAGACTTTAAAGAAGGTATATAAATATGTTGAATAACTTTAAAGAGACTATGTTAAAAGAATCAAAGAAAATATAGTCTTAATGAGTGAACATGTCTAGCTAGAGAATTCTAGCAGGAAAAGAAAAACTGTACCACACACACACACAAATATATATATACACACAATTCATATATTGTGTTGGAAACTTAAAAACAAGAAATAAAAAATTAAACAACAGACTGAAGATGGCAGAAAAAAATAGCCAATGAATGTGAAGACAAAATTTTCCAATCAGAGAAAAGAAGGAGAAAGATGGAAGAAAAACACACAGACCTAGTGACTTGTAGACTACCAAATTGCAAAGCATATATATAATTGGAGCCTAAAAAGTAGAGGAAAGGGAAAATAAGTGGAAAAAATATGTTTTAAGGTGAAGGAAAATCTACAAGAAGGTCAGTAAATTCCTTATCAAGATAAATAGAAAGAGAAGCAAATTTAGTTCAAACTAAAGAGAAATTCTTAAAAGCATCCTCAGGGAGAAAGAAAAACACATTATATACAAAGAAACAAAGATAAAATGATGGCTGACTTCACAACAGAAACAGGGCCAAACAGAATAAAATAGAATAAAACCTTTAAAGCGCTGGGGGAAAGACTGGGCAAAAGTTGTCAACTTGGCCAACAAAAAGTTGTCAGTATTTGAAATCTCACAGAAATTTAAGAGTGAAGATTTTTTTATATATACAAATCAGAAATTTTGTCTCCAGTAGATCACTGCTATAAAAACATGTACTTTAAGGGTGTCCTTGAGGTCACATGGAAATGGTGCTAGGTTGTAACTGGGATCTGCAGGTAGAAATGAATGCCATAGGAGATGGTAAATAGGTAGAAATTTTTTTAACTGTATTTTCTTTTTTCATATAATTTACATGAAATACATCTGACTGTTCAAATATGATAGCACTACAAGGTAAGGTTTATAATATAAATATAGGTAAAAGTAAAAGATATAATTACTGTGAAATGAAGGGGGCAGGTAAATGAATTAAACTGTTGTAAGATTATTACATTTGCAAAGTAAGACACAAGATGTGAAGTATCACATTTGAAATGAGATAGGGAATAGTAGAACATGTTGAGGTATACTTAGGAATTGTAAATATGAAAAATAAAATACTGACTATAATTAAACTCTGAAAAGTTATGAATGCCTCTTCTTTGCCCTAGAAGAATCAGTAAAACACAAGAAAAAGAGGGAGCTTTAAGAATCAGTAGAAGTAAACAAACAAAAAAAAAAAAAACTGATCAACTGAAAAGAAAGAAAAGTAATCACAAAGGAATAAAAAAAAGCCAGAAGGGACAAGTGGAAAACAAATAACAAGATGCATACTTAATTTCAAACATATCAGTAACTACAGTAAATGTAAATGAACTAAATACTAAAATTAAGACTAGTATAATCACATAAATGAATATAACAGAAATTATGCTGCAGGAAAGTACAAGACACAAAAAAGTTCTTATTAGAAAATTTCATTCATATGAAATTCTAGAAAAAGCAAAATCATCAGTTAGTGAAGGAACTCAGATCAGTAGTTACCTGACACATGAAGGGGGACTGTGAAGATTAAGTGGAGAGAAAAATGAAGGAGCTTTCTGGGGAGATGGAATGTTCTGTATCTCGCTGAGTGGTACTTACACTGAAGTTATTTGCTTAGCAACTTAAAATGAGAATTTTATTGTATGTAAATTATACCCTAATAAAGTTGATTTTTTAAAAATGTATCTATTAAAATACTGATTGCCAAGTGATTAAGATATCAGACTTTGAAACTCTCTGGGTTCAAATCCTGTTGCTATTTTCTTACTATCTGACATAGGGCAAATTACTAAACCATCTGTAACATGGAGGTAATAGCACTTCAGAGGATTGTTGAGATGATTAATTCCTTATTTGGAGTAAGAGTTCAATTAATATTGCATTAATACTGTCATCAGCACTACCATTACTGTGTGGAGGATGTGAAATTATTGAAAGAGATGTATCAAATCATGGGATTATAAGCTATTTTCATTTTATCCTCAAATAATTCTTTTAGCAGAAAAATGAGACTTGGATGAAAAGTAAACTGAAAAAGAGATGTTAGTTGATAATATAAGACAGCATAGTATGAGTCGACTTTTGAGCAATTCGGTCAGTACCTGATTACCAGCTTTATTAGTTTTTTGTTGTCACTGTAGCAATAAGTTACCACAAACCTTGTGGCTTTAAACAGCACTGATTTATCATCTTACAGTTCTAGAGGACAGAAATCCAAATGAGTACAGTGAGGCTAAAATCAAGGTATGAGCACAGCTGGTCCTTTGAAGGCTCTAAGGGAGAATCCATTTCCTTATCTTTTCTAGCTTCTCGAGGCTGCTTATATTTGGCTAGTAGCTCCTTTCTCCATCTTGAGTACTAGCTACTTAGCATCTTCTCTCTCATAATCTTCTCTCCTATATCAAATGTCCTGCATCCATTTTATTAAGATCTATGGGATTACATTTAGGACCCACCTAGATAATCTACAATAATTTCCCCATCTCAAGATCCTTATCTTAATCACATCTGAAAATCCCCTTTTGTCATGTAGGATAACATTCACAGGTTCTAGGGAATAGGATGTGATCATCTTTGGAGGCCTGCCAAACATGCCAAATGCCTTAAGAGCAAGATTAGAAAAGAGAGGAGAAGAGGGGAGAACCTAGAGGGTCCTATGAAATTTCGTTTTATAAAGTTTGCAAGTGTTTGGTTAAGGAGCAACAAAGCTGAAGCAAAAACAAATTTGCAAACTAAAATATCATTGCTACTTTTAGGTGTTTTAAATGTCTATCTACGTTTGAAAGGACAGACAACGATAGAGAATCCACTGTGGTCTTCAAGTGGGAATAAAGGACAACGGTGGAACGAGGCTCACGTTAATATATATCCAATTACTTCATTCCAGGTAAGAAAAGAACAATCGTTTCTGTGGATAGATTCCTGCACATGAGCATAATGTTAAAGGCAGACCTTGAGCAAATATTCAAATATGAATATTCAGAAATTCTGTGATATGAACATCACAAAAATCACATGTTTAAGTATCTCTTGTTCTAAAAGCTGCTTTATAAAGAGAAAATGTCCTTTTCTTTATTCACATCTATCAAGTAATATGTTTGAATAATAGGCTATCAAAATTCAAATGATCTGCCTGGATAAATATAATCCATTTCTGTAAAATAACATGTGTATATTTTGTTCCTTGAAGACAAATACCATAGGTTCTTATAATAATGGGAACTGGATAATAAATTCTCAAATAAGCTGTTTGAATTGTACTTAATGGAATTTTATATACTTTAGCAAAATGTGTCTCTCTGGGGTAATGTCATTTTAGTAATTTATCACTTTGGTTATGAAAGTTAGAGAACTTTAAACAAGTTATTTTTCTTTGTTTTTATGTAGAAAAGAAGTAAGGCTTTGATTGAATTAAGAGAGTTATCCGCAAATATATAATAGAAATTTTAATGACCATCATGTCTATAGACAGTATTTCATGAAACTATTTCACTGGAGAAAATAGTGTAGTTGAAGTTATTTCATAACTATTTAAAGTACATATATTTTATAAACTCAGGTTGAGTGTAATTTTTTTCTACTGATGATTTCTTTAATACATTTCATGGCATATATAACAAGAATATGGAAAACAGCTCAAATTATGCCAGTTTTTAATTGATAGAATGTTCTTTTTTTATAAACTAATCTATAAAATTCTAATGGCTTTGATTTAGAAATTGCACTTCTAAATCTAACCAGGATGATAAAAATGAATACATTTGTTCACAATGGTAAAGAATAATGGAGTAAGATGAGCTGATTATCTACAAACATAAAAGCAACTCAAATCATAGATACTGGGAATAATTTTGTTTCTATGATGGAGAATATAATTGTGAAAATGGAATCCTTGGCAACATCTAATTTAACAAAATTAAACTAGGAAGACAGAACTCCAAAGAATGACTGATAGAAGTAATCTTAATATTAAAATGCATATACCTATATAGGCATCAAAGAGACTTTCTTTCTAAACAGTTGATGTTCTTCTAGATATATTTTGCTTCCTATGTGACTACCTCACCAACACAAAATTAGATCAAATACATATACAATAAGCATTTAAGAGAATAGTTATATTAATGTTTCCTTCAGGACAATCATTTATTGCCATAGAGACGACAGTTCAATAAATATGTGTTTGAGTTACTACTGTGTACCAGGAACATTGCTGGGCACGAAGATCTTAAAATGATTGTTTACCTCAGGATGGTGGAAATACACATCTAAACAACATAAATCACATGCTGTAAAAATTGCAGTAATAGAGGTATACACAAGACTCTAGGAGCACCCCTAACCAGCAACAAGAGTATGGAAGAGTGGAGAAAAGCTTATTGTATGTGGTGAAACTTAAACAGAGAAGAAAGACTGAAAGCAGAGAAGGGATAACGTTAATACTGCAGCAGACGTCAGAGTGAACAAAAACATTAAGGCATCAAGGTTATAGGCCATAGGATTTGCCATGGTAACAAAAGACATTTATCTGAAATTTGAAACATAAAAAAAAAAAGAAAGTAAAGGACTGGTATGAACTGAGGTTGAGGAACCTGAGGAGCTTAGGTAATGGTGAGTCATCGGAAGATTTTACTCCAGGGATGTCGTAGTACATCACTCAGGGAAGTGGTATAAAGAAAAATGGATAATTTCAAGATGTACTTAGTTATGAAAACTAGCAGAACATATTTATGTTGGGAATTTGGGACGTAGCCATGAAGTTTCTAACTAGGGATTGCTGCCCACATTACCTTAAAGAACAAGAAGAGGAAAAGATACAAGTGTCAGGGCCGAGTATGGGTACTTCTGTTGTAGACATGTTAATGTAAAAGGCCTGGGGAGTAACCTTTTAGAGATGTGTAGAAGGTTGTTGAATATTTATCTGAAGCTTTGGATACATATTTTACATATTTGTGAGTCATCAAATTGTGTGTGGTACTTAAAACTGCGATGATGGTTGATATTTCCAAGGAAAACTGAGCAGTGATTAAAAGATGGACTGGGGCAGAACGACTAGCCAGTTGTTATTAACTGTGGGAGATGAGCTTGATACTAAGCAGTATTTTTCAGAGTTAAAAGGAAGGAGATCCGGCAAAGTTTTGTGCCCACAGAATTTAAAGACAGTGATACTCAAATTGGAAAGCAAGTTGCATTCAGTGAACTGGTCATTAGAAAGTGTCCACTCTTGAGAAAGTTGCATAAGGTGATAATGAAATTAGGAAAACCACCATTAAATTATTCCCTCAGAATTAATAGAAAGACCTACAGGCAGATATTAAATTAAATTATTATATGATTTATGCAAAGTTATTTTATTCTATCATTTTTCACACTAGAAAAAGTAAAGATTTTTGTTAAGTTTAGTTTTGTGTTTGCAAGTGAATACATTATTTGTTCAATATATTACAGTCAGGGGAATCCTGAAGGGAATATCCCCCTGAATATAAGCAGAGAGGTTCATAGAGGAAAGAAATGAGAGGCAGAGTACTAGCTCCAAGTTTGATTTTGCAATCTCATAGAAAGGAATTGCTTTTCTTGCTGATTTGGCTCACTTTAGTCCATTGCATCCTGTTCCCAGAATTGCTGATTAAAAGAAGGGATTTCAAGACATGAGTTAGTATTTTGTTACCAAGGAAGCATTTGGCCAGGGTAAATTCAGAACAGAACATTTTTATGGTACTCTACAAATGATGCTTTCTGCTTGGCAATTTACATATTAAGTTCACAAAAGATTTACAGGAATGTTCAAAGCAGATGTTCAAGAATATTCAAATGAATAAAACTTTATTTACAATGGTACAAGCCTTGGAGAACTTCTCTCTTCACTATAATTAACTCTTCTCATTCCAAATGAGAAATCAGACCAGGTTTGCAGAGTAGTTATCATTTCTGGTGCTTTTTGATCTTTTTTTTTTTTTGTAGATCCACATTTCTACCTGGTATCAATTTTATTTTGCCAGAAGGACCTATTTTAACATTTACTGTACAGTGAGTCTGCTAAATATGAATTATTTTTATGTTTTATACTTCTTAAAAAATCTATTTCACCTTCATTTTTTGGAGGATACATCCTCTGGTATAGTATTCTAGTTTCCCTTCCAGAACGGTAAAGATGTTATTCTCCTGTCTTTTTGTTTGCATTGTTTCCAAGAGATATCTGCTGACATTCATATCTATTCTATATGTAATATGACTAGTTGCTTATAAGATTTTCTCCTTTTCACAGGTTTTGAGTAATTTGACTATTATGTGCTTTTATGTACTTTTCTTCATTTTTCATGTGCTTAGGGTTAATTGAACTTAAATCTGTGGGTTTATAGTTTTTATAAAATTTAAGGATTTTCTGGCTTCTGTTAATATTTTGCTCCCCCCTCCTCTCCTTTGTAGACTCCAGTTACACATAAGGACTCTGTAGGTGTACACATATAAGGTGTTATACAGTTTATTAAAGCATTTAATTTTTTTTT